AACAATCTAGGTAGAATAACAATTCCTAATTCTTGCAAAATGAACATCGATAACTCCATGTTTATAGCAGAGAGTAAATCCAATAGAAATGTTAAATTGGATATTATATCAAACAATGTTAGGGACATAACTCAATCAGAAATCACAGAAAATCTTAAAGGAGTAGTTCCTCAGAACCTTACAAGCACGAAGTGCATTAAAAATTTAAATATTCTTGCCAGCAAAGCAGTAGAATTAAGTAAGCTTATACATGTACTACCAAATTCAATGTTCATCCAAAAAATAGAATTTTATGTTATATTTATTTATGTAATTTTTTTTGTTTTTGGAATAACAATAATAATATGTATTAGTAAACTAAGGAAACATTCAATAAGAATGTACATCCCTGAAATACCAGAAGAACATTCGAATGGTATTCAGGAAAACACTAGAGTATAATATATATTTTATTATTTTTTTTTTCTCTCTCTATCATTTTATTTATCATTGTAAAAAAAAAAAATATATAAAACTATGCTGAACTAATCTCCAACATCCCAATTTACAGACTCTTTTAAATTAGATGAAACACGGTGATCATAGGACCCCCGTGTCTCATTTAGTGTGGGGGGTGTTGTGAACCCCTGAATAGTATTATATTATATTATGTTCACAGTATAACAAGAGTGTGTTGGTCGACGACTCGTCGACAGGAATCCGCTGACTAGGCGATTCGGCGTCCGGCGGGGCCATAGGCCGACGCACAGGGAGGAGGTTAGTCAGTCGCATTAGAACAGAGCATTATACTTAACGTATGTTTTAAGAAGAGCATTTTTATATTATATGTACAACTAGTTAATGTTAAAACCCGTAATAAAACCTATATAATTAATATCAATCTAATCGTGCGTTAAATTATTTGTGTTGGAACCCCGGTTCCATAACACAACAAATAAAATTTTATTGATATTTTTAGAAAAAAAACTAAAAAAATGGTAACTGAAAATGGTCGTAAAGAGCTCAAAATAAGTCATTACACTTGACCTCTTATTTTAAATGTAGGCATATCATTTTCGACAATAGTTTCTGCCGCTCCAAATGAGGTCATATGAAACGCATTGTTATATTTATAAATATTTTCTAAAATGTGTTCTGAAATACTTGTTGAACTTTCCAAAAGAGTTTTCATTGGTTCTAGTGGTTCATCGATATTAGGAATACGAACAGTTCCATTTGAACAACACATACCAGCAGATTCTCCTTTAATTAAGAAAATAATATAAAACGTTTTCAAAATTCTAAAAATGTATACACTCATAAACTACCTTTGAATTTCATTGCATTGCAATATTGACAAATTACATCCATTACACATTTACACCGATACAAACATCATCGTCGTCATAATATGGATGCTTAGGTTGGTATAAATAGGCAGACCGGAATTTTACCCACTTGAACGGCATATCACCTAAAGTATATTCATTTATAATAATAAATAGTACCTAGTGAAACATAGGCGAAGTATAATAAACAGATATATTATTTAATAATGTATATGTACCACATACCAAATAATGTGGGTTCAGCATTTGGTCTTAAACTCTTACGCTGTGTAGTAAAAAAACATATTGGTTTCAAACAAAATTCAAAAAAATTAGATCTGTTAGTAATGCTATACAACAATGAACAAACAACTGAACGATTGGAGTTAGAGATGTCGATCTCATCGATCGAATAAATAGGGGAGCGCGCATGCGTATTAAAAACATTATTTATTATTTTTTTTTATTACCTTTGTACATTATTGTAGGTCAACAATTATAAAATAAAGAAAAAAAAGAAAAAAAAAGAAACAGACATCGTTATCGGTGAATACCTATATGAAAATAATTTGGTAATTAGTTAATTATTATTATTATTTCTATGATGGTTCAAAACCGGTTTCCTTCGTCTCCAAAATCAGGTTAGATTCTTATATATAAAGAAGATAATGTAAGTTTTAACACAAAATTCGCACATTTCGTTATGTTCAGGTAATTTTCATAAAATATTTCGATAATTTCAAGTTACAGTTCGGAACGAGATGAAGACGGATGAAGATAGCTGTTTCTTCGGTGGCTTCACGTAAGTAGTATTGTACGTACCTCCATGTTTCAAAGCTATTGGACAATATATGGAAAAGTTAATGAGATAGTAAGAAATTATTTAAACTCAGCCAAATTAAACTTGGTACCCATAAACAGTATATAAACCAAGTAAGTAAGACAATTTTCTGTATTTTGTAAAAAAAAACATGTATATAATATTACAGTGATGTAGCCAGGGGAGGGGCTGCACCCCCCCCCCCCCCCCCGAAATGTTAAGAAAATAAAAAAAATATTTTAATGGTCTATGATAGTCACTCAAAAAGTCTTAAATGGTATAATATCAAATATTTAAAAATGTACTATAAGTAGGTATTAATACTTTTCAGCTATCCATCAGCTGTGCTATTACGCGTATTTAATGTGTAAAAGTGTAAAAGTTGATCAGCCCCCCCCCCCCGGAAAATTCCTGTCTACGCCACTGTTATATTATATTTTTTTTAATATTTTTTTGTAGTAGCATATAATAAATAATAATATATAAGTAGGTATAGGTGCTATAGATGTACACTTATTAGATAAAGTAGCTATAACGCTTAGAGCAAGGGTCGGTAACTAGTGGGGCCGTGGGGGACCACTGAACGGAAATAAATGGACACGAAAACTATTTTACATCGTCTGCATTATTCGTAATGAGTAAAATAATTTTTGAAGTGAAAACTTCTTTAGGCACGTTGGCACGTAGGCACTTTAGGCACAACCTAACCCCGTATAAGAAAGCATTTGTGAGTGAGGAAAAAAGTATGATCTCGCGACACCGACACCGCCAACGCCACCGCGAGTATATTATCTAGACACGTGGTAGCGTGTCAAGCCAAGTTCTAGCTAACAGAACTGGCGAGCAGCACCGTGTGTAATATTACACGAACCATTTGGAGCCACTTTTGACCCCCTCATAACTCAAAAACTATTCCACATAATTACATAAACATGTCAAATTTGGCTCATATATTGAGACTAACGAGATACATATGTGCTCTAAATTTCATAAACTTACTTCAAACCGTTATTTAGATATTAACGTCCAAAAATCGTCATTTTTATCACTGACTTACCTATAGATCAAAATTCTAACCCAGTTCCAGATGACCTAGAAAGTTCAAATTTGGCATACAGATAGGTAGTTGGGTAAATACAAAGGAAAAAATCAGAAACTTGAAAATTTTTAATTTAAAATTTTTTAATTTTTTAATCAATTGATTTTATTATAATTTTGCAATTATTTTATCTATTATGTTTAATTTTTCAATTTATTAATGAATTGCCTCTAATTTAATGTAATGTTGACTTAAATAACCTTTCCCGTATCGCCGCTCCAAAAATACGACTAGCCGAATATGTGTCGATATTGTCGACCCGCGCGCAGCAACATACTTTTTTTTCTATCTATGTATTTAATTAATATTATTTTTTTTAAATATTACAATTAAAATAATTAAATAATTATTCTTACAAATTATGAATTATCCACCCAACAGTAGAAACTACAGTCAATAAAATTATGATAATTAAAAATATACTCAAAAACAGAGGCGGAACTAAGAATTTTTACGCCCGGGGAAAATATTAAAATTAAGCCCAATCATAGACCAAGATTGAAAATACAATATCATTCCCTACAATTGTTTTACCATAACTGGAACTAAAATTACAAACATACTTATTAACTTTTAAACACATAATAATATATAATAATTAATATAGGTATTCTGTGGACTGTGGTGTAACCAAGTTTATACTAATAAACTATCACACCAAAAACACTTTAAATTTAAAAACTTAGTCAACATATTGTTGATACATTTTTAATTACTGGAAATACTGCATTGGTTACTTAATTGTGTTTATTATTAGAAATAATAATAATATTAGTTATATATAAATGTTGAAAAATAATCAAAACTTTAATTACCTACCTATCCTGTATAAAAATAGATTTTTATGGTAAAATATAAAATCTTTTATTCTGATTAGGGTACACAATTTACTATTTAGGCCAGTAAAAAATTGTATTTAATTAAACAATTTATAATAGAAAAAATGAAAAAGTAAATATTTAAAATCAAATCTTTTTTTTTAAACATAAACAAATGTATAACTATCTTGGTAAATATTATAATATATAATATTATAAACTATAATATATTAACATCATTTTTAATATACGGATATAATAATATAATATGCGTATCGTACGTTGATTGATAATCTTATAACAGTTATTGTGTAGGTATCAGACATTTTAACGAAAACACAGCATCAATAAATGCCTAGGTATAGTTACTATAGTTACATTTTCACTCAGAATCTTAATAATTATAGTATATTAGTTGTATATGCTTGCAGTAGGTATGCTAATACCAGTATACCAGTATATACTTAGTATACTAATACGAATCTATTCATAATCTTACTATTAACTTTATTTTTTTTTTTCATTAATTCCAACGTCATCACTACAACATAATAAACAAATAATGTGAAATAAATTGTTTTCTTAACTTCTATCACCAAGCATTAAATAAAGAACTAAAGAAAAATTACGCCCACTAAAATTTTACGCCCGGGGATCAATCCCCGGCTTCACCTCCCTAGTTCCGCCCCTGCTCAAAAAGAGTTAAAATAATTGTATATTAATTTTACATATATTTTATACTCTGTATATACAACGGAAAATATTTTATAATAAATATTATTATTAATATTAGTAACTGAATTATATTATATAGTAATAAACTTTATTTATAGAATACGTCATGGCTAGGTTAGGTTAGGTTATAATAATTTACATACAAAAAGTAATGATATCCCACCAAAAACATATATGTAAAATGAGAGCCAAGTTCAATACTATAATATATGCCTTGGTTGTTGACTTCAACGACAAAAGAAGTGAGATCTAAATGGGTGCCAAGTTAGGATAATAATATATTGAAGCCTAAGGTCTGACTTGGCTACGAATTATATATTATAGCATTTGCAAGTTCTAAAGCTTTGAGTTCTTATTTTATTCTTCGGAAAATCATCTTCACTCTTCCATTACTGTTTTAGTAGGTACTTATAATAATAATTCGTATATGAAAAGTAGCCAAGTCACACCTTAGGTTTCAATATATTATCCTAACTTGGCACCCATTTAGATCTCACTTCTTTTGTCGTTGAAGTCAACAACCAAGGCATATATTATAGTATTGAACTTGGCTCTCATTTTACATATATGTTTTTGGTGGGATATAATGTACTGTGGTCTGTGGTATATACATTAGTGTATCAAAGCTGCGCGCGCAGCAGACGGCAGTTACGACTTACGGGAAAACAACAACGCCCGCCTGTATTATGTAAAATAACTGAAATAATTATGTATAGTATTTTATATTGATAAATAAAACAATTCGTGGTACATTATTTCCTAAGCATTACAAAATTTTTAAAAACAAAGTGAAATTGTTCTAGTATATATACACATACACGCTCACACTTAAGTATAACAGTATATACCACAGTACCTATATATATTCATGTACCTACTCTCGGTGGCGGTGTCGCGATTTCATACTTTTTTCCCCACCCGCAAATGCTTTCTTACGGGGTGCCCAACGTGCTTAAGAAGTTTTCACTTCTACCGGCAGTCCCCCGACGGGTTAGGTTTTTTTTTTTTTGTATTTAATTTTCATATTATGTCGTGCCTAAGTCTTCATATCCCTGCCAAACACATCGCAGACTATCGCCGGCTGGCCTCACCCTGCACACCCGTTATTATCTGACTTTTTACGGCAATTTTTTTGTATTATTTAAAATATGTTGTTGTGTTTGTAATTTTTGTATAATTATAATATAATATTTTTATAATATATAATTATATAGGTACCTACCTAGTGTTGAAATTCGTTGACAGCGCTAATCGTATTTTTAATTTTTCCTTTGAGTGAGCTAAAATTTGAAACAGTAGCCTTCTGGCTCGTTTCGTTAAAAGTGAATGGCAACACTGTGGTTAATGGTATCACTTTTTCTATTTATTTTCACGTAAATACTAAATATGTACAATTGTATATAGCATAGGGGGTCGATTCGCTTAGTGCTTACTCATTAATTATACCTCGTATGTTGTAAAGATTTTATTACTAAATAATAAATATTCTTTTAAAATAAATATAAAATATAAAGTAAAAAGTTATTCATTACGTTTACAATATGATGCTATTATATATTATTTTCTTTAAAATGTCAAAGTTAAGGCACATCACCATGGTTAGATTGTGTGTGATCTGCGGAAACGTCGACGGTGTTGATGGAGTTTCGTTGCACAGGTTACAATAAATTTATTAACAACTCATACTAAAACTACTCATAATGTAATGGTTAAATAAGGTTTCCACCGAATGACCGCCGGAGACGTCAGTGGGTGTTGTTTGTCGAGAACTATGGTATAAATGCACAACAGATTTTGGCCAACTCAAAAGTGTGCTCGAGACATTTCGTACTAGGTCGTGATTATGAAAGAGAAACACAACATCGTCGTCGTCTGTTCTTAATAGCGGTGCAATCTTTAGTGAGTGTATCATGACTATTTTCTACGTGTTGCAATTACGGTCAAATGGCTGTTACAGGAGACCTTGTTTTGGGTCCACCACCAGAGTTATTAATTCATTTGTTGGTTGATGATTCGCAGGTAGCAAAACACTTTCGGAAAGAAATCTGCCTGTACAACTACACTCTAGCATTTGCGGCTTTCTCCGCTGAACTGAGCCCAAGACGTTTGCCTGGTCAGGGACCAAGAGTATTCTCCATTCACGGGCAAGTGTATCGTAGGATTAGTAATGATGTTGTCAGAAATGAACTAATGCAACCAAGGTATTGTGAGTTGTATTTTATTGAATCCGGGGCAGCAAATCAGATTCGCATGGCACAACAGCCACGTGAACGACCACTATTGGAGAACTTGCTTGCAGACTTAGACAGACTGTTACAGCGAATCAATCCATTTGCGGTGGCATTCGAGTAATATATATTACTTTAAATTATTAACATATACATAATCTAGCAAAATGCGTACATCACACTCATTAACAAAACTATATTTGTAATCAAATAAAAATATTACTTCAAGTTGTAGTGTGTTGAACACACATTACATTAGTATAGGTAGGTATTGCACTTTTACGTATTTCTATATGATACAACTATAATACTTTGGTCAACATTGCATTGAATACACATTCGTGTAGACTGTAGTGCACAATTTGTTTAAAAATTTATAGTTTACATTATAATTACTACTCACTCATTTCTATTGTGACTTATTATAGGAAATAAATTTTGGTAATGATGCCTTGAATTCCCCAAAAAGTAAATTGTATTCAAAACATTTCAACACCATTTGAACAATGACACAATGTGGATAAAAATTATGGATTTATTTGGTAATATATAACAATTAATAATGTATTGTACATAATAATGAGTAATTTATTAGTAAAATATAAAATGTGGAATTTCTTGGAGAAAAAATTGAAGTATAATGGTATGGCTGGTTAGTAAATAAAATGTAACTAAGAAGGATTGGCATAGCTAGAAACTTGTAGGCCCTAAGAGACAGCTCTCTTTAACACAGAAATTAAATAAAAATAAAAATATTCATATTATTAAATAGTGGTTCTATACTCTGTACCAAATAAGAGCGCACCGCGTTGGCGCATCCAAATGAATCGCGGAGCGACGTCTGGACCCCCTGGTCGAGTCTATTCGCTCTGTGATTGGTCGCCGATCGTCGGTCGGATTCGCCGCCGTCGAGAATACAGGGAGCTGAAGTAATAATGCGTTTCACGCGTATTAATCAGTAAAATAATACACATACTTTTCGTTTTTTTTTTCTTAACATAGGTATTGAACTCAATATAATATTAAAAACATTCAAAATATTCACCAATGCGCGCAAAAAATATAACAACGTCTAACCGCGTATACCGTTAAAATTGGTGTGATAATACAACACTCTGTATTCAGAGTTGACCTGGCCGGCGCCGGAATATGCTGCGGCAGCGCTCTCTGACATGCGCGAGTTTCGACCGGTTTTCGTGCGCCGCCCGGTGCGCTCTTATTTGGTACAGAGTATAGGAGCTAATAATAATTATAAGGATGGTAAGGAGACTACAGCATAAGACGTACAAATAACAATATTTTCATCAATAGATTATAGAGCTGTGAAGCCTACATTATAGTGACTGCCTTAGAAACAATATTCATAGAATAGCTGTGCTGCAATAACTTATATGTTTCTATGAGCCGTGTACACATTAGAGTTTTAAACACTCAGATTCAAAAATAAAAATCTTAGAATAATATTAAATACATAATAAATATACATTAATAGGCCCTTAATAATTCATAATACTTATAATTCGTATAACAGCTGGTCTTCTCAAAATATTTCTAAAATTGAGTTATTAACT